AGAAGAAAAGAAAGATGCTGGTGTTTGTTGTATGCAGATGACATTGTCTTGGTGGCGGAGTCGAAGCAGAAAGTCATGGAATGGTACCGAGAATGGAAAACGGCAATAGAAGTCAAGGGACCGAAAGTGAATGAGGCAAAGACGAAGGACATGAGATGCTCGAGGCAGGTGGAGGTGAAGGACAGTGATAAATGGCCATGTGTGTGTGGAAAAAGGTGAATTCGATAATGTGTGGAAATGCGGTAAGTGGGTTCATGGAAGATGTTCAGGTGTCCGTGGTGCATTGACAAGAGTAACTGATTTTGAGTGCGGGACGTGCCGAAGTGGTGGGCGAGTCGCGATTGAACGGTTTGAACTGGGTGACGTGAGTTTGGAAGGTGTATCGGAGTTTAAATATCTGGGCGATGTGTTAAATGATGGTGGAGGTGCGAGCAAGCGGTGAGGAACAGAGTTCAAGCAGCGTGGTGGAGTTTTAGAGAGTTGTCGGGAATGTTGTGCGGAAAGTCGACTTCGTTGAAGCAGAAGGAGAATTGTATAAGGCATGTGTTAGAAGTGTTTTGGGATATGGAGCAGAGTGTTGGGCGCCGAAAGCAGAGGACCTGAGAAGATTGGCGTCGACGGAAAGGAGAATGCTTAGGATGATGTGTGGTGTAACGTTGATGGATAGGATTCGAAGTGAAGAGATTAGAGAAGAGTTGGTGTTGAGTGTATCGAGAATTGGGTAAGGCGCCAGCGTTTGAGGTGGTTTGGGCATGTGGAAAGGAGGGAAGAAAGTGCTGAAATTCGTAGAACGTTGCATATGAATGTTGATGGAGTACGCAAACGAGGTAGACCGAGAAAGAGATGGATGGATGCTGTGAACAGTGATATGAAGGCGATGGGTATAACGAGAGATATGGCGAGAGATAGAGACGTGTGGCGTGGAAAAATTCATGGACCGGTCAACCCCCCTGGCGGGGATTAATACTGGCCGGTATATAAATGTTGTTTGTTTGTTGTTTGTTTGATTGCCTCTGTGCCATTGTTAGTGTTGACGACGTTCACTGCTTGTTGTGTTCGAAACGCATGGACCCAACGTGCCGAACACGAAAGCCATGTGTTTTCAGTATATTCTTTAACTTTTTCATAGAATCCAGACTTCCGTAAGTTGGTGACTTCGGCATCATACTCACTCTCTGTGCTTGCAAATGATATTCTCTGCATTTGGCTCAGGAACATTTCCTGTTCTTCTGGTGTTAGGTTGTGCTTCTTTGCTTTTGACCATCTTTGCATGGCTTGAATTCTGTGGAAATCGCAGATGTAGACTGTTATGTCATGAAACTGTTCTTCGATCGCCCCAATCTCGGCTGTTGAATAGTCGACCATGAAATACTTAGGGTCCAATCACGATTCCATGATTTGACAACGTTCAAAGCTTCACTGATAGATTCTCTGTCCTCTGCTTGGCACATGAACTCGGCCACGACTTTGTAGCCAACATTTGTGTGAACACAAATGAAGAACAGGGTATCGCATACTTCGTTGTTTTGTATGTAGCATCCATCAAAACAAGCTCGTATCCATATCTTGTCAACAAACGCTGCTGCCATTGTTCTTGATGAACAAACAAAAAGCTTTGCTCTGCGGATACTCTATCGCTGTCGTTATTTCTCTTTGTCGTTTCCTCTCGCATCCTATAAAAAAAATTCGAAGTGGGATCTTTTGCTTTCCACTCGTCAACTTTCCTTGCCACTGCTTCCTGGTCATCGTCGCAAGATTTGAAAGAAGAAATGGCTCTACCAATGTGATTTCGAATGTCTTGCCGGGATGGATAGTATCGTCGATTTGCTTTTTTGGGAACCTGTGTTTTTGGAACATCTCGAAATAGATCGTTCTCTACGAAATTGTCCAGCCATCGCTTTACTTCAGCAACGCTGGTAATATTTTGTTTGACCAAATCATAGATTTTTTTCACGACACGTGAATCGACGTATTGGCCAATTGATAACTCAGTTCCCACTGGGTGTTTTTGGTGAGCAGAGCTTAGCGGTATCCTTAGGTAAAATCGCGTGGACCTACGGACTTTTGCGTTCTCTTTATTAAGGGCCTCGTTTAGTTTAGTTAGAAGCGTACGTTTGGCAACTTTTATGGCGTTGTTGGATTGACAAGCGTTTTTGTCCATTAAGTAATCATCAAAAATCTCGATGCAACGAATTTGCAAACTTGCAGGGCACTGGAGTTTTCGACTGTTTTGTAGTCTAACTCGCTGTTTCTTTTCATATTTGTGGTCTCCCACTTAATGTACACTATAACCTCCTCTTCCATCCTGGATGTGTAATAAAGCAACGCAATTTTTTACCCGCTATATATATGTAAAAAGCCCAAATATTTCTTCTTTAATGTATAGCGAATGTAATTCTCTTTCTTACTGAATAAGATTTTTTAATAGTTAACTCTACAAACATTTCTATAGGCAGTGTTAATAACTAGAAATTTTTGATAAAAAGACTGTTTTTTTATATCTTTGATGTTGTTGTCTGGTGATTGATCATTGATGTTGATTTACGTACCTTATTAGGTCCATGGAGACAATGCCGCGTTTCTGTGCCTTTTATAGAGAATGGCTTGCCAAAAAACGAAATTGGAAGATATCCTCTTTTGTCTTCAAAAACTGCATGATCTACGAGAACATGTATTGTAATTCATTCTATAGCTGAGTTACAACATCTGCGCGATCATTGTTTTTCATGTTTTCCAATTAACCCATTTTTGGAAAAAACGATATTTTCAATTAACTGTGTTAAGTGGGATTATTCAAGCGTATTTGCGTCGTCGGGATCTTATTTCAAGCAACACATGTATTTGTCCAAAAACTCTGACCAGCCAACAATTTAAAAAAATATAATATAAAACAAATTCTGAAAAAACAGGACATCTTGAGATTGCAAAATATCAATCAAAACAAGACGAGAAGTGAACTGTAAATTTTCGACTTTATTTCAAAGTCATCCTTAGACACGTATTTGTAAACCTTGCTTGCGGCCTAACTAACATTAGCATGATTGGTTTCATGTTATCCGTGTTCATTTAAGTTGCTTGGATGTAAGATTGACGAAGTCAAACATACAGTTTACGGCTTTTTGGCGTACGCACTTACTTGCTTGAGTAAATCTCTTATTACTCATCTCTTTCGTATGATTTTCGACGGTAACAAATCTAATATAATTAATTGCTTGAAGTTTCTGCAAAACAGCCTCCAATTGTTCATTTTTCCCATCAAAGTACGATAAACAATAATCATTTTCAATGTTCACGCCATCGAAATGTTCATTAATGAAACAAATCTCCAAATTTTTCATTGCATTTATCTCATCCATGATTTTATTCGAAAGGAAAAGCCACTTAAACGAATAAGGGAAAAGCCAATATTCATATCAATGATTATTAAACGTGAAAGATGCTTAGGGTTTTCAAAGCTTATCAATAATTATCAACTATGATCCACTACACTGACCATAATGCATCGCAGACGCACCCTCTCTCTCCGCCCGGGATGTAATGTTTCCCGTGATGGTAATGGCCCTTGTATTTCGTGCACAAGTTTAACAAAATACACTTGTTTAAAGTGCGAAAAATTTATATGTACAAGGAAAGTTTCCTCGAGATACACGAAATGTTTTTTTGAATCAGAATAAATACTCCAAACTTTCTTCCACCAGCCTGAATTTCTATCTTGTCTTCGACATGATCGATAAGGAGGGCTACGTATGAAGGCATTTTTTGACCAATTAACGGTAGAAAAACATAGGAAATTTGCAGAAGTTGCCGTCTCGTTTCTAATAGTTTATTTACTGCAACATGCATCAATATTCGTTTTCCTATTAACACGAATCATGTTTGAAATGCATAAACTCAACATTTTCCTGTTCGCCATTTTAGAAAATTAGTACAAGAAAATGAATAAACTATGAAAAAGTGGAAGCATAACTATAATAAATGCGACTATTAAATTCGACGTCTGAATCAAACTACGCATAAAACTATTTTAGTCGACTAAAACTCAGATTTGATTCGGCGCATGTAAAATGCGACGTTTGAACAGGGCCTAAGTCTACTATTGTTTGCTTATTTTGAACAGTAGCAAATCTTACTGAATTCTGTCAATATTATTCACTGGATAGAGAAATTTTGAGCATTTAAAAATTGTTTTGTTTTTTATGGACAAAAATAACCAAGATATTTGAAGATAATGCTTAGTTTCAAACAGCTTTTGTCCTTTTACATGGAGTTTGATGCAACCTTAAACATATTTTAAACATTCTTGATTTTACGATTAAATTTTCTGATTTACTATTTCATGTATCATGAGCAAACCATCCATGGGCTTTATGGCAAATTAACATAATCAACTTTTCTTGACTCAATTTATGTTGAAATAAATACTTAAGATGAGAACGTCTTAACGTGATTTTCACGTGATTGTCACGCGAGGGAGATGTGAAAATACATACTTACTGTCCTGGATCACCAATCAGGTCACCAATCAGAGTCTAAAACCATAAAACGCCAAACTGGGTCAAAATCCAAAGCAACATTTAATGTTTCTACAAATTCCTCAAAGATAGCGTGAAAATGTGACAAAATGAAAACTTTAGTGAAAGAAGACAACATCATGTGAAATGAAACATAAAGATTGCAAGGGATATAGATGGTCTAAAATGATCATCACCTTATCTAGTGTATCATAAACAAAACGATTGCAAGGGATATAGATGGTCTAAAATGATCATCACCTTATCTAGTGTATCATAAACAAAACGATTCCAAGGGATATAGATGGTCTAAAATGATCATCACCTTATCTAGTGTATCATAAACAAAACGATTGCAAGGGATATAGATGGTCTAAAATGATCATCATTTTGTCTAGTGTATCATCAGTGTGTAAGAACTGACCAACTTTGGTTGCTGTCTCACCAAGGAGACCTACAGATTGAAGGAATTTTTATCTTTTGATGGATTCTTGTTAAATCTTAAAGTAAACCGTAAAATTGAATAAAAGTACAGAAGATAAGCAAAATTGTTGACCAAACTTACAACTGAATTCCCTTTTCTTTCGTCTCCTTCTTCTGTTTAAGACTCTCAAATTCTTCAGCATTATCGATGGCTTTTGAACTATTAAGAGACGACTGATTACCCCCCGTTTTTTGAGATTGTAAATCACCGGGCTCCACTACGTTTTCATTCTCCTCGGTGCTTCCTTTTCGAGAAATTGTTGGTGCACCATCAACCAGATCTGTCAGGAAATTTATATGTAAGAGATTAAACAGAAGTATTGAGGAATAACTATGATGATTTGGAGATCAATAAGGGATCGCATGGATCATTAAGAGGTTAGCATAGATCATTAACAGATAGCCTAGATCATCGGGAAGATAGTATAGATTATTGAGAGATAGAATAGAACATTGAGGGTAGCATGGGTCAATAATGAGTAACTATAAACATTAACATATTGCCTTGAACCACCGTGAGACCAGCAAGGGTAAAAAATATAACTAAGGGATAACTTAGATCCTGAGAGGTTAACTACAATTGTCGAACAACTAGTTACGATCAAGAACATTAACGTGTGTATAAGAAAATAATGGAGTACCTTCGATAAATAAGGAATACAGAGTATAGAAAGATGGAATCTTGATGGAGACAAAAATCTTCAGTGTGCTGATATCAAAAGAGGGGTACAATGGATCAGTGGGCTATAACTTATCGAAATGTATAACAATATTAAGTTTATATTCGCTACATGCGAGTTTCTTCAGTTTCATAAAGATGTTAAAACTCACCAAAATTATCGTCCACCTGAGAATCAGTGCTCCATTCTACCATACATTTAAGAATAGAAACGAGACATTCCAGACCTTTGATACGAATACTGCGTTCTTGAACCTGGAAAAATCATATAAAAATAAGTCGACATTGATACTATTCATATAAAACGTGATAAAAGATGTATTATAATCAACATTGTCAGCACAAAATATTAGAGACATGTTCTAGTCCTTTTCATGTTGATAGACTATGCTCCAGTTTTTTCATGTTGATAGACTATGTCCCAGTCCTTTTCATAATTATAGATTACGTTCCAGTCCTTTTCAAGTGGCATAGATATGAACAAGAGAAGGTAGAGAAGTAAACATTATGAAACATATTCATCAACTTACTGGTGTCGCTCCTAATTCAAAAGCTTGACATCCTTGGGCAACTTTAGACAAATTATTGATCAACCTTTGAAAGATATTCGGCAAAGACAATTCACAGTCGTAATTTAAATATATATCAACGACCGTCTGAGCGTCTGCAATAGAGGTCACAAATGGACATTAATGACTAATATCAATGAATATTAATTAAAGATAAAATGACATGAAGATAAAATCAAAATTTAACTGTTGGTATATTGATAATTAGTAAGGGAAAGGTCACACCTCACCACTTGTACACCCACGAAGAAAATTCGAATGAGAGAATTGCGAAGATTGAATATAGGATGTGATTTGGAAATAAAAGATGCTTAATTTTTGTACCGGGTTAAGCAGACGGAAGAGACATTTGGTAGAACTGGAGGCAATGTCAGTGCAAGATTTACACCGAAAGTTGACGGTTTGCACCAGCTAGAGAGTTCTCACAAAAGTCTCAAGGTTTGCGTAAGCCAGTACAAACACAAAAAACCATCTTTTAGTTCTTTTGTAAATAATAGTAATGCGAAACAGATAAATTTAAGAAAAAAGTTTAAAATTTTTCTCTGACATGTATTCATGATTCATTTGCAAATTATCTTTGATTGATATAATTGATGTAGCTCAGATATGCACGTTTGTACAGGCTAATGCAAACACAGTTTAAGTTTTTATTAAGTAAATAGTGATGTGGTGGTCTTCTTTGATTTTGGTAAAACCTTTGATTCAGTTTCAAATAACGTTGTAGTTTAAAACTTTTCTTTTCCAATCTAACTTCGGTTACTTGATGTCTCTTGCTTTTTTGTTGATCGCATAAGTTTTTATGCTTCGTGCAATTACTTAGCGACATTTTTCTCTTAGAAATTCAATGAACGCTTTTAAAATCGACTATTGTGTTGTAATTTTTCTTTAGAAACTGAAATATTTTAGTATGCATTTAAAAAAAAATAACGAGTGAAAACCAACTATTTACTTTCAGCACTTGGCGTCTTATATTGACAGCAAAAAATTGAAAGATTTAATCACAAAATCCTAGTTTAAACATGATTTTTTTATTTATCTTCAAATTGTAAAAATAGACCACAGTGATCCTTCATAATAACCACATACTCATGTAAACTAAATTTAAAACTTGTCAACTCTACTTACGAACTTTAAAACCTGGATCATGGTTCTCCATTCTCTTCTTTGCATTTGCCTCTTTTCCATATTTGTAGAATGTAGTCAGTCTTCATAGTCCAATGTAAATGTTCATACATGTTATACAATGTTCTTTTAATAACTTTTATCATTCCATTTATGGTGTAACCTCAATATTTAACCAATACAGTACAGACATCATGGACATCCTTTCTGAACATATTTCCCACTCTAAATTTAACCTTTTTAGTCGCGAATAGTAAAATCCTTCACATTACGAAGGTTTTAACAAGACCTGTTAATTTCTTCCATATATTTCTTATTTCGCCTGTTCGTCAGTAAATACACAGTACTTACATTTCCTCTCTATAAAGTTAAAGCGACTTGACTGACGTTAAAGTTAACACATACGAATTTAAATACTTTAACACTTCTGAAATTGACGTCACGATAAAATTTTTTATTTTTATTGGCTCGAGGTGCATATGACCTTTCAAACATACAATAATTAATCCTCTAACGTCTTTGAACAAAATTTTTACGCCCGTTTCAAACATCGAACTTTATATTTGTAAACTAAAATAAGGCCCTGTTTACTGTATAGAACTGCTATCGTTGCAGGTTAAATTTTCTATGTATTAAAAGTCAGTGATATCGTTAAATGCTAAAAACACAATTAAATTGACTAAAATCTATCAACTTTATAGGCATTTACTTCAAACTGTTACCTCTTGAAACAAAATGAAGATATCTTGATGAGCAAATCTGGTATATAGTGTAAACGCGGCCAAAACGTTAAATTTTGTCAAATGAAGCCTCAATGTAACATGATCATGCAATTAAGAAATAAAAGGTGTTTCATGTTTTTACACAGGCTTATGTAAACCACATCTTCTTGTGATATTCTCAATTTCATCACAACTTTGACAATGTTACAGTGTTGAATTCTCCAAATATAAATTTGAAAGTTGACGGGAATCATAGGATGAAAAAGATCTTTACTTGACATTACAAAAAACTAATCTCTCTCTCTGTCCGTGATATTTTTACATAATTAAAAACTGACAGTTTTTCCACGGCTAAAACAAAGGATATGGACAATTTTTTCTGCAATATTTCTGAGTTCGTTGTTGATACCATAAATAACTGTCCTTTTGTGATATAAAGAACTTTTTATGTTCGTTTTAAGTGATATGTAATGTTAGTAAATACGATAGGTTAATATAACTACAAAGGTTGATTTAGTGGATTTATTCAGGTACATTGAGTTTAAAAATTAATTCCGCATCCACCATTTGTTACTAAAGCTAAATTATCGGTGTTGTAATGCATAGTTATATTATCAGAATCTAATTCATTACCTATTTTGCCAAATTTAGCCCATCTTTTACCACTGCTTAAATCTACAGCAAACAATGTGCAAAAAGCTTCGCCAATGAAATATGATTTATGTACGAATGTGCAAGACTCCAAAAATCCATCGATACTATGCCAAATCGTACTTACGTCATTGTTTTTATGCACATTAATTACATAAATGCCAGTTTTCCGTTTGAAATTGTCGTTTTGAAAAGAGAATGCAATGACCGCTTGGTTACTATCACTTATAGAGCAACTGACTTTAAGACAAGTTACAGTTTCCTGTTTCTTAACAAATGTTTTAATAAAAGACGTTATGGGTATTTCTGCAGTAGGCCAAAGTTTCAAGTAAAGCTCATTGTTGTTATTTCCCCATTTCCATAATGTGTATTCTGTTTTGTTTACAGTTAAAACAGAATTATCAGGTGATACAGCTGCTGCTTTTAATTCAAAACACTTGACAGGAAGTCTTTTGTTGTATTGTATCTCACCTTTGTTAATTCTGACAACTTGTACAAACTTTTCTTCTTTAATACAAACTAAGACATCACCAAATGTTAAGATTTCTTTAGGTTTAAATCCAATGTTAACATGTTTTGCTTGAGTAGAATCTACAAAATTTTCAGACGAAGTTGATATCTTCATAAGATGATCAGAACCATCCCATATCCACAGCAAACCATCCGACCACCAACATCCTAATGCATTCTTCAGTTGCATTGGTACAGTTTGAATAATAGTGCAACGTTCAATGCTCCAAATATGAATGTTGACGTGGTCACCAACAGCGAAAGCAGCAAAAAAAGATCCATCCGGTGAAAAACAACAACATTTAATTTCAAAATTCTCAAAGATAAATGAAGGTCTCCAAAGATGATCAGTTTTGAAAATTTTAAGCTTGGAAAAATACGGCACAACGTAAAATTCCTTAAACGAGATGGGATGGACTTTGTCAGGAGTCCTATCATCACATGGACACTTAACATAAACCTGGCTTGTATGATAAGAAATACAATCACGATAATGGTGTGTATTCATTGATTGTAAATGGTAATTGATAACATTCGATTTCTCGAAGAATTCTGCAACAAAGAACTCTGAATATTTAACAACGCAGTGTCGATCAATTCTTTGCAAAGTTAATGAATTCCATGCAGTGAACACATCTTTAGGACGTCCTTTGTAATGTCTTTCATATCTTGCTGTAATAAACAAACCAGAATCTGAGAAAGAGCAACGATTAACGACAACATCTGACTGTAAACATAATAACAAACGTCCATTGTTAACGTCCCACAACTTTATTTCAGTAGATCCATCACTAGTTACCAGTCTATTTCCGGTAGGTGAAAAGGAGCAACAACAGATGTTTCCACTTACAAAACCAAAGTTCTTTGATATTGGATAGTAATAGATGTCATACAGGGACATAAATCTGTCTACATCGTCCCATTTACCCAACCTTGAATCATCAAGTGCAGTGCCAAGAGTGCATCGTTGTTTGAATTCTGGAAGCTCAAAAATAGATATTTGACCATTTTCATATCCTACAGCAAGAAGTTCTTCATTGGACGACACACAAAGAGATGTAACGTTAGCACGCAAGGAAACAGTCAAATGATGATGGTTTGTTAAATATGTTGAGTCTAAATCCTCAAACCAAACAAACTTTCCTTGTTTCAATAAATCCCTTGCCGAAAATCTGTTTTCCTTACTGCCATGAATTCCATTTGCAATAATTTGTAAATAAATTAAGCTACAATCTAACTTATAAAATGTATATCTCATTGTTAATGTCAAATAAGATAGTGCTTCCTCAAGTACATCTTTTCTCTGGAAAGTTTGTAGTTTCTTATTGATTTCATTGATTTCCTCCAATTCAGAGTCAATGGTATACATGTCAATGTCTTCCCCACATATTAACCTCGCACAAACCACTTTGACATCTACTGCCCAACTAAAGTCCACATTTTCGCCACATTCTATCATATGATAGACTCCATTCTTCAAAACATATTTAATCATAGCAGTGTTCATCTGATCTTCAAAAATGTTCATCGACTTGATTTGTTCAAACACTTTCTCACAAGCATGCCATAAGAACTTATGACCATTTTTTGGATCAACTGTAAACTCATGCTGTTCATAACCATCTGATTTCAACCAATCAATTAGAGATTTGTGATACACGGTTAAACAATCATCGTAAACTGGCAAAACTTGAGATAACGGTTCAATGATTTTACTGCGTACTTCAAACTTGATGTCATCAGAAAAACCTAAATAACTAAACAGTAAAGTTAATGGTAAAAACTCCCGACAGGCAGCCAACAATTCAAGGAATTTTATGAAAGTAGTTTCTGAGATAACAGAATTTGTGGGACTTTCCTTCGTTAACAATTCTTTTACTCTTTTGAATTGCTTTGTGTAAACACCGCTTAACCCACTAGGGACCAATTGTTCAATATTCTCGTCTGTAAGCTCAATTTCTTCTTTCTTCAAGCTCAGTTGTGCGTAATACGCATAAAGAAATGATCCCTCACATTTTTCAACTAATGACCGAAGAACGTAGCGATTTCTCCGCACCCGATTATTCAACTGATTTCTCAAATACTTGCACAGGTCTTCTTCGTTGTTTTTATCACGAGGATGAGTTGTAATTTCCACAGGATTCATGTCTTTCAACTCCTTTTGAACAGGAAGTTCTGGACGACTGGTGATGAAGATTTTAATCCATTTAGGCAGTCGGTTAAACTCTTTTGCAATCAATTCCAGCAATTCACTTTTGCCATCAACTTGGCTTTCATCTAAGGCATCAATAACCAAAAGCATAGGTTCATAATCTTCCAATGAATGCAATGGATCATTTAATAAAACACGGAATGCATCGGTGATCGATTCTTTGAATGTTTCTCTGTAATTCTTCATTCAGTTTACTTTTAAAATTTGATATTGTATCACACATGCTACTAGCCAATGATTCTATCAACATTCGAGGATTTCTATAATCTGATATATTGTATCTGCAGAAATGAGAAGCAGCAAGTTTCTTCTTTTCAGAATAACGTCGACACAACTCAGCTGCAAACACACTTTTACCAACACCTGGACCGGCAATCAAAATCATGACATTAGAAGCATCTTCACTTATATCGTTAAACCAAGTGTCGAGTTTTTCAAATAACCATTGTCTAGTGCCTTCAAGGTATTTCTTGTTAAGATCTTTTATATAACCAACAAACTTACACTTTCCAAGCTTCTTAAGATTAGAACATATTTTGCCCTGTTTCGATTCTTTTACTCCAACAACATCAGCTTTTGTAGCCATCTCTTGTTTAATTTCTGCAACATCATCCTTTGTTGCCATCTCTTGTTTCATCTCTACAACATTTCTTTTTATTACTTTCACATCTTCTTGGGTTTTTTTAGTGACATCGATTAACTGCTCTTCTTTTTTATACCATTCTTTTAACATTACAGTATAATTTACTTCATCAGGACTGAGTGGAGCTTCCTTTAATTCATCTATTTCAGTTTGTTGAATACCCAAACCAACCAATGCTTTTGAAATTTCCTGCCACAAATGCTCAAACTCACTGTCATTTACACTAGTTTTAGCTATGTGACCATACACTTTGTTTCGATAAAACTTTATTCTTGCAATGTTTGCTGAGATTGAAGAATCTGAAGAGGAAGGAAGACTATTCCATCCACCATTTGGAGCTGTTAGACCACATATGTTACGCAATAAGACAGTCAATAATGAAATATCAAAGTTTTCA